CCTCAGACTGAGGGCCATCAGTGTGGAGAGAAGTGCTTTTTAAAAAGCCTGTCCAGATGTGTGTTTACACGGACGTGAAACACTCTTAAAAGCTCAACTTCAGACCAAAATACACCCACGGACGAAGCTCTTATTGTGAAAGGATGAGCTTCCTGGCCAACATTTGACTTTATTCCGTAAGATCTGGAGGATGAGCTGAGGTCGGAGCTTTAAAGTGTTGTTATTTGTCCTAATAGTGGCTCTGATTGTTCGTCAGGTGCCTGCTGTGCGTGGCGATGACATTTGGCCAAGCGTTAATGAGCAGAGCTAACGGAGCAGCGCCGTTCAGGAGGACGGCGCCGCTCACAACAGCCCGGCCTTAATTTTCCTCTAATCTCCCTCCCTCACCTCGGCTCCCAGCTCTAATCACCGCACGAGGAGGAAGCCAGTGTTTAAATGAAGCCGCTTACCGGGTGATTAAGAAAAGGTAAATTATTCATTACAGAATGTGTAATCATAGCGCAGCCTTTGGTGGAGGAGGATGAGGGAATTCATGGTTGCTCTCCCGGAGCGAGGCCACGCCCCCCCCCCCACCACCACCACCACCGACGGCAGCCATGAGGAACGAGATGAAAGGAGCCACACGGAGGCGGGGTGGCTGCCGCAGATCCACAGGTAATAAAGTTCAGGCCTGAAAGCAGCTCGTTAGCAGGAGGCGTGAAGCGCTCCTCCTCGCATCCAGATTCTCTCTGTTAATGATGCAAAGTCACGTCTTGTAGTTCACCGTCTTAAACGTGCAGTCGCTTCGTATGCAGACAGGGTTACGGGACATTTCTGGGGGCGATTTCTTTTTTAGAGAAAATGTTTTTCAGACCTGAGGCTATTTTATTTTACCTGCGAGGCCAGCGAAGTGCGAACGCAGCTGTCAGACTCAGGTGGGCTCCAGACCTACAGCTCAGATTCCTCAGGTGAACTCACACGGCTTATAGACATTATTGTTCCTGTCAAAGCATGTGCTTCTATCTATCTATCTATCTGTCTATCTATCTATCTATCTATCTATCTATCTATCTATCGTTTTATCCATCTATAGGAAACTTTGATTCATGGCTGTTGCCTTATACACAAGAAACATAGCACATGGTACAGACAGGAAATTAAGGGTGTGAACTATTAAACTCTATAGAGTGGACTGATAGTATCCCACAATGCATCATGAAAAGCGGTGCACAACCAATGGTAACGAACCAAGTGGTATATACCATCATGCATTGCGCTCGTGCCGGCCTCATCAGATGTAGTTCCCCCACACTTGCACTCATCAGAGCGTCGGTGACCGTCTTCTGCTGAGTGTGAAAGTTCATTGATGAATAGTTTTACAAATCTTGACTGTACGTTTATGTACTGGCTTTTTTTCTGGGGGGGTTGATGTGATAATTCTGCAGAAGTTTTGCAGACTGATTAATTCTAGTTCAACAATATGAAAACTCCCTTAAAAGTCGGAGTGCCCTTGAGCAAACACTGAGTGTGTTCCAGCTGCTCGGTGACCATCAGCAGAGGACTGTGTCTGTATCAGGCAGCTTCCTCTGTGTGAACCTGAACCTCCTGACTCAGTGTTTCCTGGAAGAGATAAAAAAAAAAAAAGAAGAAAAGTAGCAGCCGCCGCGGAGCCGAGGAGAAACAAAAAAATAAGTCGGAGGAAGTCATTAATCAGCCGAGCGCTTCCTGCGCCTCTACTGGAAATAACCTCGTCTTGTAAGTGACTGCTATCTGCTCCAGTTTATCGGCGGAGGTTAAGTGCGTGCTCGCCAACTGTGACTCTCCATCATGAAACGATAATAAAAGCTCAAAAAGCCCCACGCTCCAAGATCACCCAAAGTCAGCCATGTTGTTTTAGCCTAATGGGCCGGCGAGCGGGAGAATAATTACTCGAGGCCGAGGAGGTTCTGCATGACGAGCGTTAGATAAATGTGAGGCTTTTTCCTGGTTTAGCTTACCCCAAGCAACGAGCCGCGGGCGCCGGCCTCGACACCCGATGTTTGTAATGGGGAAATAATTCATGAGAAAAATAGTTTTGCTCTCTCGCCGAGTTTATTTTACCGGCTAACGCGTGGCGGGGAAATGGGACATTTAAAAAAGCAGAAGAGTCGTAATGAGAGGTATTAGTTCCCTTCAGCCGGGATCGTTAGGCTGTTCTCATGGATTATTAGCAGAAAATGAAACGGGGGGGGGGGGGGAGTGGCGGGTTAAAGACTGGTGATGGAATCAAACGTCTACAGATATGATCCTGCCGGGACAAAACGTGCAGTCAGAGCTCATTAAGCTCGGCGGCTGCGCTCGCTTTATGTGCTTTATTGTAAATCCAACACGTCTCTGTAAGTGTCTCCTGCAGCACTCGTGCGTCTTGTTTGTGTTTGATGAGTTTCTGATCTTCCTGTGTTACAACATCCCCGGGAATCACAGAGCAGTCTGCCGCCGCCGCCGCCGCCAACACCACCTTTGTTTTATTCCTTCAAACACACTGCAGCATGTCGGACAGTACTTATTGAGGAGCCGGCGTGACTGGAGGAGGAGGAGGAGGAGGAGGCGTGAAGCTCATCCGACACGACCTTAAAGGAAACAGCTGATAGTAGAAAATAATATCGGCGCACGTGTGAATCCTCCCGCGGCGTCTCTTGGTGTCTGGTTCTAACGCGCTACGCGGAAAACTGTCGGTTTGGATTGAATCAGTAAAGTTGTAATTCAGACGTCACAGCGAAGAGAAAGACCAACAACACGTTGAGTTAAATCCTCCCTCACTCTTCAAGTGCAGCCGACTGATTGTTGTGCAATATTAATGAGCAGGTTTATTTTCCAGAGTAAAATCACTGGCGGAGGAACGAAAACGAAATGTGAAGATTCTTTATTAGAATTAAAACGAACGACAGTCAGAAAATGAAAATCTTCCATCTCCAGCTCTGGGTTCTTAGATCAGTTAAATAATGGAGGAAAGGAGGAGGAGAGAGGAGGGGAAAAGGAATCAAGTAAGTGGGGAGGAGAGGACTAAGATAAGGAGGGAAGGAAGAAGGTAAGGGGAAAGGAAAGACAAAAGGGAAAGATGTAAGTAAGGAAGGTGAAAGAAAACGGAATAAGGGAAGTAAGGGGAAGGAAAGAAATAGAAAAAAAAGGAGAACAAGGGAAAGCAAAAAAAGTAAATACAAAGGGCAGAAGCAGGGAAGACTGTAAGGAAGGAAAGAAAGGGGGGAAAAAAGAAAAGAATGATGGACTGAAAGAAAGAACGACAAAGGGAAAAATGAAATCTCACCAGCAGCCCTAAAAGAAAATTAAAACAAACTGAGTCTAAAACCAACAGAAATCCACAAACACGTGAGAAAACACCAGTAACTATGACATGACCTCAGTTTCCTGAACTGAAGCTCCTGTAACCGGCAACTGCAGCTGTAAATATAGTGGAGTCTAAATACCATCAGTGAGTTAATCATGTCTGCAGGGGAGCGACGCCCACCTCTGATTATCTATCGCTTGACTGTTTTTGATATTCATGGTTACCCAGATGGTTAATCCTATTTTTTCTGAGATCCTGAGATCAAAATGTCAAACTCTCCGACCTCCGGTTTTTTCTTCCGTTGTTTTTATTTGTTTGTGTGTGGAGAGTCCTGACGAGGCAGATTCGAGTCCCGGTCTCGGTCTCACTGGGGATTGTGGATTTAATTTAACCTGCCAGTCGGTGTGGGAAACTATTCCTGTTGGAGATTCCCCGCAGATCTGCCACAACATATTGTGTGTTTGCCCTCGGTAGCGAGCAATTACTCGCTTGGAGGAACCTTTTTTTTTTTCTTGCTTTTGGTTGTGTATTGGCGTTTATTTTTTTAGTTTAGTTTAGAGTTTAAAAAACGAAGGATTACACACGGACGAATCGTTCTCTCCTCTCAGCAGAGGTGAACCTGAGCTGAAGCCGGCAGCGCAGGTGAGGGAGGAAAAGAGAAGCCCCCTAAAACGATCTGTCATCTCCTCCCTTCCTCACACAGCTGCTCTCCTAAATACCCAGAATGCCCTTCAGCGTACAGTACTGAGGCGGCAGACTCTCTTATGAACCCCAGGTGTGGTTATCTTGTACAGGAGCGCGCAGCACATCAGTAACAACGGCGCTGTGAGGCGTCAGGTGCTATCGTCCTCTGTCCTGTTTGGGACTGAAACTACTTTGTCCTGGTTTTGTGGTCCATTGCCCCCCCCCCTCCGCCGCCGTCGCCACCCTCCCCTCATGGCTCGAAGCGAGGCGTTTAACAAATGAGCCCAATATTTGCTGAGCTGTTCCTGCGACGGCGGCGTTGTCTCTCCAGGGTCACACGGGGAAGGGGATGGCTTGGGCGCCACGTTCTTGCTGACCTATTCACTACCTTTCTCTAATGGGTCATATTTTAGCTCCTGTGGCGGTGACAAATGGGCGCGCTCTAAAAGCCCTGTCCAAGGTGCTGAAACCTGGTTGATCTATGACTGAGTCCCGCTGATAAATGCCTCCCATCAGTTTGCGCGTGACGCCGATTCATCACCTCGCCGAGGTTTGTGTTGGGAATCCATATTGGATTTTTAATGAAAGAGAATATAATGCAATTCAAAGTCAATGGGTTTGCCAATGTCCTCACACACACACCTATTAAGGTACATGCACACACACACACACACACACACACACTTAAACCAACTATCTCATATGCCGGTTGTGCTGTTTGAGATTGCGTTGCACTAACCGTGTTCGAGCGTCTGCCCCTGTAATTGTGTTTGTCTGCAGCAGATCTCACAGTTGTGCTGCGCTGAGGTTCGGAGGGGGACGCAACAAGATTTATGAGCCTCATCCACACAAATATCAAAGACAACAGTTTTGTGTTTTTGTTTGTTTTGTTGTTGTTTTTTGACATGCTCTGTCCAGATTTAACAAGAAAAGATTGTAGTTATAAGACACCACACAGGTTTAATGAAAAATGTATTTGTTCATAAAACTGCATACATTATAGTCGGTTTTATTGTACACTAGACTAACAAGGTTTTTTTTTCTGCCGTTATAAACTATCTTCGCTTGGCACCATTTAATGTAACACAGCAAAGAAAATGCTTTTTTGCAGACATCAAAGCCGTCTCAACAAGGTATTTAAGACAGAGTAGTTCCTGTGCTGTGCTTTACTCTGGCTGCACTGCATGAATGACCAGTAGCCGTGTAGATTATAGTCAAGATATCTGACTGATTTAAGCTTGTTATAATGACACAAGTTTGAAATACAAAAGAAAGAAGTCTCTGCTTTCAGCCGGTAAATGTAAATTGTGTGTTTGTTGTTCAGGAGTTCCAGTGCAAAACGTCCCGTTGAAAGTGGCGAAAAGAGGGCACGTAAATTACATCGTCCCGTGTCCGTCACCCTTCATCTTCACATAATCCCAAAGTGCTTTTACAGACAAGGACGTTTCTTACATGGAGTCGTCCGGTAAGTCTATTACAGTCGCCCTCACCTTGACCCCAGACACACCAAATTCCAGGAAAGAAGAAGAAGAGGAGGAGGAGGAGGAGGAGTGAGTGCTGGGAATCAGCAGCGTTTCAGCCGAATCCGCTATCAGTTTCCTGTAAAACACTTGGCTGTAGAGAGATGTATAGATGACGGAGCAAGACACGGCAACCACAACAAAAAACACGGCACAGGAAGCCATCACCAGACCGTCCCAGTTCTCAGCTTCCTCCCTCGGGACGGCGGCCTCCTTTGTGGTAACGTTAACACAGTCCCTGCTGTATCCAGGCCGTGGTGCGGCGACTGCGACCTCCACACAGACCTGGTAGTGAGTGTATGGGATCAGCTGTTTGATGTGGAACTCTCTGACATCAGCAGGAAGCCTGGCTCTGAATGGCATCAAGAGGCTGCTGCCCTCGGCTAAAATGGACCAATTGAGTTGTGAAACCAAACCACCTGTGCTCTCCCAGGAAACCATTACAGAATGAGCCTGGACAGATGTGATATACACGTGCAAAGGTTGGTTTGAAGGCTGTGCGAGGTATCCGTCCACCGCAACCGTCACAGACTTGAGATCTGCCCCGACAAGATTATGGGCGACGCAGGTGTACGAGCCGGCTTCCTGCTCCGAGGCGTCGTAGATGTCGAACGTTCCCTCGTGGTGCATGTAGAATTTATCGGACACACTTCCGGGTAAGACCCGGTCACCGGACGGCGTCACCCAGTAAATCTCGGGCTCCGGTTCTCCGAACGCCCGGCAGTGCAGCGACACCGAGCTCCCTTTGCCGACCTCCACCCGCTCTGGGAGGCTCGCAGGTGAGATCAGAGGAAGGCAGATCTCCGTCATTTCCCTGAAGTGCACCTGTCGGACGTGCCGGCCTTGGTACTCCGGAGGCTCCACGCAGAACAGGGAGTCCGGCTCCATGAACCGGACGGCCGTCCTGTTCATGTTGACCCAGCGGATGACGCAGTCGCAGCGGATGGGGTTGCTGTGCAGACTGACCTCTCGCAGGTTGGGCAGGGACTCCACGGTGCTGTGGTGGAGCGCGCTCAGAGCGTTGCTGTTCAGCATCAGGGTCTCCAGCCTGGGGAGCTTGTGGAAGGCCCTCGGGTGGATGTAGGACAACCTGGGGTTGTTGGTGGCCTCGATTTTTGTCAGCTCGGGCAGGTTGTTCAGGGCAAAGCTGTCGATGGATATGAGCTCCGGCATGCTGTTGATGCCCAGCTCCTTCAGATGCATCATATCCATGAAGTCGCCTCTCTGGATCCTCTCGATGGGGTTCTTATTCAAGTCCAGGAACTTCAGGTTCTGGACTCTCGTCAGCGCTGCTCGGGGGACTCGATTAAACAGGTTGTCAAAAAACGAGATGCTCTCCAAGCTCTCGAGACCAACCAGAGTATTGTCGGGGATTTCAGTCAAATTCATCCTGGCGAGCACGAGGCTCCTGAGGTTAGCCAGAGGTTTAAAGTTCATGTCCGACAGCTCCAGGATGGGGTTTTCTCCCAGCATCAGTATCTCCAGGTTGGGAAGCTGCTGGAACCACTGGCTGTTGACGCTTGTGAGTCGGTTGGAGTTGAGATGGAGCCTCAGCAGCCGGCCCAGGCCCTGGAAGGCCCCCGCACCGATGGAGGAAATCAGGTTGTGGTTGATGTAGAACTCCTGGAGGTTGGGCAGGGAAGCGAGGCAGCCGTCAGAAAGCTCCTGAATCCAGTTCTCCTCCATGTGGAGCGACAGCAGCTGGGGGAGGGACCCCAGACAAACATCGCTCACAGAGGAAATGTTATTCTGAGACAAGTCGATTTCAGTAATGTTGGCCAAGTAATCCAAAGTTTTCTCCACATTAACGATGTTGTTCGTCTGTAGCAGCAGCACCTGCGTCTCTGAAGGGAGTCTCTCTGGCAGCGCCGAGAGCCCCAAGTCATTACAGTCCACAGTGGCGGCCTCGGTGTACATGGAGCTGGGCGAGAACCAGGGTCGGATCTCGCATCGACACAACGCGGGGCAGTGAGCGGCCCCCTCGGAGGCCAGGACCAAAGCAGCTAGAGACAGCTCAGCCAGCAAGCAAGCCACAACTGCCGCCTCCTTCATCTTGGCCCCGTATTCCCTTCAGCCAGTAATTGGCCCTTATGGAGTCAGCTGTTAGCGCTGTTAACTTCACAAATAAAAGCTTATTTGTTACTGCAGCAAGACAGACTTGATTTCTGCTGACGCCCGGTCCCCGAAGCTTTGGCCCCGTTGTCTTCCAGCTCTTGGCGAGGAGAGGCAACCTTTCAGCTCGGCCCGTGCCAGGTTGTCATGCACGCTGTGATATGCCAAGGTCGATGTATCCTTCAGGGAGCGGCGCTGCGCAGCAGAGGGGCGGCTGAGGGAAGCTGTGGCTCCGGCAGGGGACGAATCGCTCTGCCTTCCATCATTATTATCCTCCGTCGTTGTCACTGGTGTCAGTTTCCATCTGGGGAGACAGAAGAGAAAAAGAGCCCAATATAACACGCTGCTGTCGAGATATGGACGCATATTGACATTTAGGAATATTGAGATTTATTAAGCCTTTTCAGCCTCATTTGATTTTATTGCTTTCTTTGCGCCGTGTGAATTGTAAGTTATGATTAACTTGACCTTAACTGTGTTATTGGACAGGTTTGAATCCAAAAAAATGTGCTTTTTGAGTGTCTTTATAAGAAAGCCAAGAGGACCTTTTCAGTCAAAGCGGTAGAACAAGTGTCCTGGAGAAGACGGCGCTCAGAGCTGTGTTGATTCAAGAGGCAAAACATCGCAAGTCCCAATTTCTTCCCCAGTGTTGTAATTAACAGAGCTTCACCGCCCCCTGAACCTCTCCTCTGTTGTGAAAAATGCACCTGTGCACACTTATCAAATCACCCACACAAAACAACAAGCAGACAGTTTGACACACACACACACACACACACACACACACACACACACGACCTGGAGGCGCAGATCCACCTGAAATATCTTGTCGAGCGAGCTCAGCCGAGGGTCCTGCGCCGCGACTCCTCGGCTGCCTCTCTGCATTATTCATGAGGCGCTGAATCAACGCCGCTGGTACAGGTGACAGGTCTACGGCGGGCTTTGCCTATGTCTACTGCACATATTGATGTTTTGATTAATTTGTGACCTTGAGTGCAGAAGCCACAGCTGAGTGTACAACATTAAATGAAGCTGTCGGTTAAGGCTGGAGCAGCCGGCCGCTGATGAGGACGAGCTATGACACTTCATGCATATATTAGCTTGTTTATGGCGGCGTGTGTGAACGGGTTCTTCTCTCACTTTATTACCTCCTCTCTCTTTCTCAAAGCTGTGACAGTAACAGTGTAGTTTCCTATCAGAATTTTTACTAATTCACTTATAGCATACGTGTATATTTAAGGGGTGAGGCAATTGTTATTCTGCGTTTTTATTGATTTATTTACTTTATATTTATTTGTTTTGTCTTAAACCAACAACATGTCAGTTTGTCTCTCAATACGCTGTTGCCACAAGCTCCGCATTTTCTTCTTCTTCTGTTTTATTTTGAAGTGTTGATCCATAAGAAGATATATTTGTGGTTTTAAGAAGCAAAAACCATCTCAGTGTAGTTTCACATCTAATCTCTCAGGCTTCTCTCTGCAGCTCTAGTAACAACAGGTCGGCGAGCCAATCAGAGTTGTAGTGTTAAGGACCCGAATGCAGCCAATCCAAAGGGAGTTGATGGGGAAAAAAGGCGTTTTAACAACAGAAAATAGAAACATACAAAAACCGATGCAATAAATCAGGCCGGAACAAAAACCAAAAACTCAAACAGAAACTTCCCTGAGGGAGAAACCAGGACCAAAACAGACGGAGTGACAAACACACAGGTGAAACACACGGGGGCGGGGCAGAGAATCAGGAAGTAAAAACACAGTGGACACACGGGGGGGACTCTAACGCAAAAATAAAACAGGAAATGAATCAAATGTCCGGAAAGAAAAGCGATTGGTTTGTTTACACTGTCAAATATTTTAGTCCAAATTCTCAATATTGGTCTGTTTTAATCTCTACAGCTCCACATGCTTGTTGTATGTTCTCTCTCTCTCTCTCTCTCTCTCTCTCTCTCTCTCTCTCTCTCTCCAGTCGTCTGTCAACCGGAGACCAGAGCAAACTAATGTGTCGTTACAGAACCAAACTCTTCCTTCAGTCAGTATTGGATAGTGTGTGTGTGTGTGTGTGTTTTTTTTTTTCCTCCGTCACATTTGTGCGTTATCATCCTGAGATGGCACACTTCCATTTGCAATCATCCCTCGGTCGTCTTTGTTTTGCTCTTTATGCAGCTCATTAAAGCGCTCGCAGGCATCCGTCTCCACGGCCCGGGGGGGGGGGGCACAGCCGCACAGAATCATGTCAGCTGCCGCTCCGCAGAGATGGAGACAATGCGTTTATGTACAGTATTTAGGTAACGACAAAAAAACAACTTATATGCTAATGAAGCGAGCGTGGTTTGAATGTTAAATGGAGTGTTTAATAGTGGATGTTTTCTCTTTTGGTTGGAGAGTGTGTTCTCAGGAGACGCTGCCGTACGCTAATTTAATTTCTCTTGTTTACTTCCACGATGCTCACACACTCATTTCCCTCTTATTACTTAACACTGGGAGCCTGCAGTGACTTCCTTCATTTCCCCTTCATGCACTCACAGTTATATAAAATGGAGATCAGAGCGGTGGCTGAGTTTCTTGCTGCTGTGAGTATAGAGTTATCGGGGTATGTATTGGATGCTGATTATCCGTCCATTTCCTCAGGTTTTTAAAAGTGTGTTTTTACAATTTGATGTAAATGAGATGCAGATTTTTTTATCCAGATTCGAGGATAACGGCGTCTCCTTTTTAGACGGCGCTGACAAATGTAACATAATTGGCAGCAGCGATGCAGATCAGCAGGAGGGACAGTACGTCCTAGAGGCAGCAGTAGTTTCAGATTTTAATTCTACTAATTCAGACCAAACACTCAGTGAATATCACAGTATGATTTTTTAGTTTTATTTGTATTTTTTAGCCTCGATACGTTTGAATGTGGCGACTTTAAGGCGAACAAAAAAAAAAAAAAAAAACAACGCCTGCAGCTGAAGATGAGGTTATAACGAGGTCATGCAGCGAGAACATAGTGTTGGTATTTGGTATTCATCACTGAGTACAAAGACAGATTTTGATTCCCAGTCCAATAAAGACTGTAGGAGGAAGCAGAACTCTGTCCTTGAACTGAAGTTACAAAGCAGTTAGCTAAATTTTAAAGTAGGAAATTAACAAAATGAACTCCTGTAATATATACAGTATATATATATATATATAATGATCCGACATTGTTTTCCTCATTAAGTTGATCCGACAAAAAGTAATCACTGGCTGGATCATGTCCAGAGTTACCATGGAGACCAGTTCCACCTCCAGAGTCTTGTCTGAGGATGTGAATCAACATGTTGTGAACTTTGTCGGTATCAAACCAGAACCTGAACCAGGAGCTGAGAGAGTCTGGACAGAACCAGAAACCAGGTTAATGCAGCTGCTCCAGGTGGATGTTGAAGTGTGAGATCCATTCTGGTTTTACATTTCCTCACTATGTTAAACTCTGTGTTTCCTTCAAAATATATTTGCTGTTGCAGGTTAGTTGTGTATAAAAATAAACACAAGGTAAAAAATACTCCCGCACTTCCTTTTGTCTTTTGGATTCAAATATAATTTCCCAGCAGATAAAGTAAACTGGAAACTGTCTCATCTCTGACAAACAATAAAAACAACATAAAGACTCACTCAGGGTTTCCCCATGTCACATGACTCCCTCCCTAAACATCAGAACACGCTTGTTAACTTACTGTCCAATTAACCACCAAGTCATTTCACTAAGCTTTCATCACCACCTCCTACATCTCATCACATGTGACCAAAACATCCAGTTTCCTGTCACATGTCCACACCCTCTCTTCTACTTCCTGTTTCTCTCCTGACTCCAGCGTTAGCGCCGTTAGCTCTACTCTATTCTACTAACCCTTACAGTTCACTTGACGTCCCGAGCTACATAGCCGCTACAGGAAGCTACAGGAAGCTACAGGAGGCTACAGGAAGCTACAGGAGGCTACAGGAAGCTACAGGAGGCTACAGGAGGCTACAGGAGGCTACAGGAAGCTACAGGAAGCTACAGGAGGCTACAGGAGGCTACAGGAGGCTGCAGGTGACGACCCGAGCTACATAGCCGCTACAGGAAGCTACAGGAAGCTACAGGAGGCTACAGGAAGCTACAGGAAGCTGTACTTCACTGAAGAGTGAGGGCCTCTCTCCGATGAGAGATCACAGTCTCTGCATTTATTTCATCTGCCGAGGGAACAGTCTTTGGCATTAGCCCTTTTTTTTCCCGCTCACACTCCAATGCAGCACTCAGAGTGATGCTTCGGCACACAGAGAGAGAGAGAGAGAGAGTGAGTCTCCTGTAGATGATAAAAGTATTTAGTAATGCATTATACAACCCACATACAGACCCGAGAGCAGCTCTGTTTAACCCGGCAGGACTGCCAGCCGGGGCACTTTTTTTTAAGTGCTGAGTATTGACATTCTGTGAATGGATTAAAGCGGCGCGAATGTGAAATATTTATGTATTTCTCATAGCGAGGGTCGAAGCTCTCAGGGCGCTGCCGTCCTAATACGGCAGACGTCTCATAAAGTAGTCCCCATTCCTCCATGTTTTATTCAGCGCTCACTAATACACACAGCCGAACACTTCCTGCTACTACCAGAGCTGTCGGCAGGTGAGAAGCACGTGACTTAATGCTCACGCTTTTTATTTTCACTGAAAATAAAATAACTCTGACCTCCGACCCCGAGAGGTTCTGAAAACATCGTCAAACTAAAACCAGGATCTGAGTTCCTGATGAACATGTCCGTCAGTTGTCACCCATAGGAGTGTCTCCCACTTTGGGTTAAAGTAAGTACTTCCTCAACACTATAGACGGTCTTTGTTGTCATGGTTACAACAGTAGCAGTCATGGATAATAGAAACTACTTGAACTGCTCTTTCGTTAATGAAAGGAAATGAACAAAGTGAAAAACACACAGGCCTGCACCTCC